TTCTTTACAAATTGAATATAAGCTCTGAAGCATCTAGACCAAGACAAGCTGACCTCTTGTGGCTGTAAGCAACTTTAACATACACTCGACAGGACAAAGACACCAGCCTTTCATCTTGTAATCTCGCTCATTATAGCATCAGTGAGTGCAAGCTGTCAGGGCAAGAGCCCTGTGGCTTTTAAGCTCCACAAAAGAGACAAAATACATGGGGTTTCAATGCCTTATTTGGCTAATTACAAAGAAAGTAATGTAGTAAGTATGTTACCTATAAAATTTAATTATTGGGGAACTGTAAAAAAGCCTCATTACCTGGTCAGAAATTCAACAACAGCATCACCCAGGAACTCCAGCCGTTCGTTGTGGTTAATCCTACAGTGAGAATTAAAAAGATTACTTAAAATAGCATATTTACACCCCCTCCTAAGAAACGGACACATGAGGTTTATCTCCTTTAGTAATCAAAACACCTTACCTATTCCTCTTGATTAGGAGCACTAACCACCATCTTAGCCCAGAGGTATCTGGGGCCTGCCTAATGGGAAAGGATGGGGGGCATTTCTTCATTCCATGTGGTTCAGGCTTTCTACCAGCAGACTTCCTTCCCCTGGGGACTACACTCAAAGCACCGAGAAAGTCAATGTGATATCTTCGTAATAACTGTGAATACTCCCATTCCACTATCAGGTACACAACAGAAAGGAGAATGCATTCTAGTGAAAGTTAGAACTGACCACTGAAAAATCAGTTTTGACACAATCCTCTATTGACACTATCTTCTAAAGATAGCTTCTCATCACCCAAACTCTAAACCCAACCCAGCATCTACAGTCCTTCAAAATAGGCCTAACCTACCTCTTCAGCCTCATTACCCACTATCACCCTCTCCCACTTATACGTCAGGCTACTGCTCCAAAACTGCCTGGTATTCTCTCAAAGAGGAATCCCCCAAAACACTCGGTCCTGCTATTCAGGCCAAGCTCTCTGCCACCCTAGAGCTTTCTGCTCTCCCCACTGTACACTGAGCCACAGTGAAAATCTACCCATCCCTCAAGGCCTAGTGAAAATGGTGTCTTCTTTATGAAGTCCTGCCTGCTGTCACTCATTAAAATCAATACTTCCCCCCTCAGTGCACAGACCACACTTCATTTGTATCTTGATTATGTGATGCCGTCACATCTCACAGGCTGTTAGTTTCTCAACCCCAAGTATAAGGCTGAAATGACCAGGAAGGTGGCTCATGGAAAACTTCCTCCTGCCTCTCGGTAAGTCCCATGGAGCCCCTTCTCTCAATGCTAAAGTTCTTCTCTCAGTCTCTTAGGCTGGGCAGAGACGTGACATGAAGTGATTTAGGTTTTCAAAAGGCCACTCCGGCTGCTGTGCAGAGAATGAGTGCAGGAAAGAGAAGCTCTGAGGGGTACTTCAGGAGTCCCAAGTAGACTTATCCACGTAAGTGGCTTAGGCTAGGGAGGTCATGGTGGAAGAGGGGGGAAACAGTCAGATTTGGGATACATTTTGGAGACACAGCTGAAAAGAACTGTTGATAGTTGGGATCTGGAAGCCAAGTCAAAGAAAAGAATGAAGGGCAATGCTTAGACTTTAGCTTAAGTAGCTAATGAAAAGCAATGCCATATACTAAGGAGCAGAGGAGCACGAAAGGATCAGGTTTGGGGGGGAAAAAAGGGGGTGCATTTTAGACATGCTAACGTTGAAATGCCCATCAAACATCCAAACAGAGAGATCCAGTAAAGGGCTGGCTGTATTAACCTACTGCTCATGCACAAGGACAAAGTTGGTAATAAATCTTTATAGATAGTTAATGTTTAGATGAGATTACACGTGATAAACTAGATGATACAACTAGGGGAGTGGATGTAGCCAAGAATAGGGGTCCCAGGACTGAGCCCAAGAGAGTATCAAGGTTGAGAGGTCAAGCAGAAGGGAAGCCAGCAGAGGAGAAGATCTGGCCAGGAAGGCATTAGGAAAAGGAGGCCATGTGTTATCCTCTAGCCAAAGAAAAGAATATGTTTCAAGAAAGAAGTGGTGAGCCAGGTGAGGTGGCTCATGCTCATAATCCTAGCATCCCGGGATGCCAAGGTCGGAGGATCACTTAAGGCCAGGAGTCTGGGACCAGTCTGGGCAACACAGCAAGACCCTGTCTCTACAAAAAATTAGAAAAATTAGCCAAGCATAGTGCCATGCACCTGTAGTCCCAGCTACTCAGGAGGCTGAGGCAGGAAGATTGCTTGAGCCCAGGAGTTTGAGGTTGCAGTGAGCTATGATGAAGCCACTGCACTCTTGCCTGGGCAACA